TATATCCATATGCAGGGCAACAGTAACAAGTATAGGAGTTTCTGTATTTAGTTTTAATGATCGACTGTTTAGATCGGATACAGTTATTTACGTTTACTAATAGTTTACGGCACGCAGGAATCAGTACGATTCCCTATAAAAACTGGGCCTCTAAGATAGAAAGACAGAGACCCCGGGAGATCGTCGTGACAGTTCCTGCCTGCGTGCCAGTTTGTAGCCCGTCAGTGAATAAAGATCTACATGAGCTACAATTGAAGTCGTTCCGTGTTTTCAAGCTGCTACCCGCTCAGAACTAAGTAACCAACCGGGTTACACAATCATACTGATTTAGGTGACATAAAAAAGTTCAAACTAGATACAGACTAGTGTTTCTGTGGAATGTAATTAGTGACCATTGTAGAATACCAAAGAAATTTCATTCAAGTGGCATGTAACGAGATTGTTACTTAATTAGTGCTGAATTACAATATAGAAAGAGGAAAGTATGATAAAAGGATGCATCAAAAGAAGGGAAATCAGAGAATAAATAGAAATGATCTGCTCGGAATATACAATGTGCCTCACTTCAAAGTAAATCTGTTTAAAAAAATGTGACGTATGCAATGGAAACTTGATCAGCATTTTGGGAAGATAAAAGAAAGACCCGCTCTTTGGGCTGGACACCTTTTTCATTAGGTTGCTCCTCTATTTCACTATTGTCTCATAAGAACCACCTGTATCGTCCGAGAAGAACCGAACTACAGGGAAAGAAGACTTATTCAGAAGGCGTACTCAGTTGTACCTGACATCTATCATCTAATAAAACTTGCTTGCCTGGATTGAAGAAATATCAGGACTTTGTTGTTCTTTGCCTACCTTAAAACCCCCGTGTGACGGATCCCGAAGGACAATAAAACGCAATAAACAAAGAAGAAACCCACAAATAACCCCCCTCAGACAACGTCACTAGACCTTTTGATTTTCTGCGACAGAGGACTCCCCGTGGGTTCTTCGAGGTACCATCATTCAAGGGCACCAGGTAACACCAGTGTGCAACACCACTCTGGAAGAGGCGCTGCCAGCCATTAGAGCGATTGCTTCAACACTACTGATTCTATATGGTTGGATGGGCACCTTACCCAATCCGACCTCGGAGGTTGGCTATCTCCTTCATCTGCTGTTCAGGGTACTAAGGAAGACGGCTGCACCTACTACACGGCAGAAGGCGAAGGTGGTCATTCTACCCTCTGTGCGCCTTAACTCCCCAGATCACGTGCGACAACTTATGAGGGCGGCTAATTTAATGCGGGACGTGGTCATTGTACGCCCGCGTTCCTTGGTTCCTTCGTGGTTCCGTTCTAGGGACCCGGAGGAAGTGGCCTTCCAATGTAGGGACGTGATGGCCGCCGCCCTACGTTTCCCACCTCTGCCACCCCAGGTGCGACTTCCGGCTGCAGCTAGAAGACGCACACCCAGAGGAACTCGAGACGACCCTCTCCTTGTCCCGTCCGAAGAAGAATTAATTCACGATGAGGCGTCGTCCCCACCATCAACCTCAAGCAGATGGGCCAGACCAATGGGAGAACCTCAGCGGCTGGAGCCTAACGCTCGCCCAGCGGGATTGTCCGATGAAGATTCTGACTTAGAAGAAGCTTACGAGCAAATCTAAATACACAAAATGAAAATAGAAGGAATGATTCCTATTCCCCTTTTTGGTAAAACAGAAAAAAAAAAAAAAAATTTACGTCTGAAGATATCACCTGGTGTTGTGTGGACGTCAGAGTGCCAGCAACGACGAGAGCATGAGAGGGTCACTGTCTTACCGTAGCGCTGTGTACTACCTAAGCTAGATGTCCCTGTATATGTAACGGGTTAGAGAAATAAAACTGTATTAATAGGGAAACCTATCTTATACTGTTGTTCTCACAAAACCGCGCGCACACGCAATACCACCGGCACCATCCCCGCTACATACATGTAGATTTAGACCGATAAAAGAATAATTGCGGAACGAAGAAAATGGGAATAACTTCTATCACAGTGGTTTTATCTATTTGTCATAAAGATTTAATTTATGCATGATGATTTAAAGAATTAAATGAAGAAGGATGGGAATGTTGTCATTGTAAGGGACGCGGGACGTGTGTGAAAAATAAAAAGCTATATGATCTACGATTTAATTTGTTCTTCATTTTTTTCGAGCCGCGGTTCCATAAAAAGTAGTAAGACAGCACGTGTGTCATCCAAGAGACCGGGCAACTACTGGACAACACCATCAGCGAATACTAAACAAATAAAAAGTGAGCGAAGCAACGTAAAAAGCGGGAATCACTAGATGCAGTTTGAATTTCTATCATGCTCACTAAAGACATATTAGATCAAGATGGTAACCTAGATATACAGCAACCGTATGCATAGATTAACTTTAATTATATTCATGGTTTATACAGTAACCGTATAGGCCTACATAGATTAACTTTGATTATATTCATGGTCTAAAACCATGGCTATATATGTATATCCTTATTGTCTCTAAATCATGGATTGTGCTCATGCTGGCTAAATGAACAATTGTCTTCTGTCTCATAATGAATTATGTATACTTCTATCTTAAATGCCCTATTGTGGCTCTTCCCTGTATATAAGGCCCAGTAAGCTCAAGGGTCAGTAGAGAGAAAGAACAGAAATAATAAAGGTTGCCGTCTGGATCTAGTTGGCTGTTGTCGTCATTTTATAAATATCCCGTGAACATCACAGTGGTGGAAAGCCTGGGCATAATGTCTAAACAAGTCTCTCCAGGAGGAAGAACCAGGTTTCAGACGTCAGCCTCATCAGATGTAAGCCTTAGTGCATCAAGCAGCAGCACCAGTGGAACCAGCAGTGTCAGTGGGACCAGCAGCTTGGCTGTTGTCTTCATTTATAAATATCCCGTGAACATCACATTTCTTCCAGATATGCAAAGGCACACGAAGGTAACTGAATCAATGAAAGGCGTCAAAAACATCTACAATAAGAAAGAAAAGGAAAGCTACATTCGAGGGGAAATGAGGGAGGGAGAGAGAGAGAGTGGGATTTAGACGTACAGACGGGAACACGTAGTGGATTAATCCCGAAGAACAATAGAACATCCATTAGAAAAACAAAGTAAGAAACAAAACCCCGTGACATCTTTGGTGGAGTGCCGAGATCCATGAGTACACCTTCTAAATGGTGGGGCACTCCAGCGTAGAATACAAGGTTAAAACAGCAGCGGCCAAGGAAAAGACGACCATGTCCCGCTCTAAGTTAACGCAACGTAGGGCTTGGATGAGGTCGGACTCGATGCCGCAACCCCCACCTGGGAAACCTGCCGAGAAGACGAACCCATTTTTCAAGGCCCCATGACCATCTGCGTGCAAAATGAATATATAGAGTTGCCAGAATATTTAGCGATAGGATTAATATGTCATTCCCCCCTCATAGAACAATTTCTCAATGTTCAACATTATAACGATCAATGGACCCTTAGCTTACGCGACTTAATTACCTGAGATATTCCCTTCTTGATAGCCGGTGAATACCATTTTGCATACCCTAGTGTGGACCTAGCCCGGTACTAAGGGCTAAACCTCAGCTTCTGATGTTGGGGGGGCTGGCGACCCGCTACCATAGGCACACCTGCCGTGGGAGAGTTATTGCGCCTCCTGTTCGCAATGGTAGAAACAATGGTGCCACCAGTCCCAGACCAACAAGCCAGGGTGGTCGTCATACCAGATGCCTCCTGCCACATGGCAACCAGACGGGAACTGTACAGAGCCCAGTCCTGTTTCGCGGGCCTAAAAGCACGCCCGCCTTTGTACAGACCAGGATCGCCCCCGGTGATCATGGGGGACCTATACACGGCGGTGGTGGCGATTACACACACGCGGCCACCGCCGGGGCGCATGTTCCCGTCACACCCAGTACCAGCGGCCACTAGCCATATCCTCCCACCATGGATGCCACGACCAGACCACTGCGGACGGATTCCAGCAGCCCCCTTCGCTTGCGTCCACCGCCGTCTGATTCGGAGGAAGAATGGGATTAACAGAAGAAAATAACCTTACCAAGGACTTGTCAATATCGCAGCCTATGAGGCACGCAGGATTGAGAACGACTCCCTATAAAAAGAGGGCTCCTCAGATAGAGAGACAGAGACCCCGGGAGATCGTCGTGACTGTCCCTGCCTGTGTGCCAGTGTATGCCTGTGTATGAGGAATAAAATCGTCATGAACCACATCTGAAGTTGTGTGATTTCAAGCCGTCGCTCTCATAAAAATAAGTAACCAACCAAGGTTACAGATATAAAGTAACGGGTGCCGAAACTTGGCACACCGTATCTAAAATTTTTCAAAGGAAACAGAAATTGAATGAACCCGTTTTAAATTATATAGCAGCAATGAGAAAAGATGCTGAGCGTGTGCATTTAGAAGACAAGACTACTATAATTGCTATATTAAATGGACTATTACCTCAGATAAGACCCTTTGTTTAACAGCACGATCCTAAAAATTTTGAATCTTTGATTAATCATGCAAAAGCTGCTGAAAATGCAGTTCAACCTAATTCTAATGAATCATTGGACTCGTTGGCATTTATGAATGCTCAAATCAATGCATTGGGTATTAAGATGGATTCTATTTTACAGAAATCTAAATCTTCCCCAAAAAATGGCCCAAAATAAGCTAACCCAGCATGAGGCATGGACCCAATCAGGTCCTAAACATGGAGAGCTGATGTTTACCGGAACGATGGCCATACACTTATATCTCCAAATAGTTTATTTACCGGAACACTTGGCCTCCAACCTAATGCACCACTCACCATTAATCGAACAATTTGTACGCATTGGTAATTATAATCCAAAATGGACCATTAAATTACCGCATGATATTATTTCTATAGAAATACTTTATTTATTAGCGGGAGAATATCAATACCGTTTTGATGGTATTGATTTGAATACCTTACAAGCTGCATCACATTTCTTAATCATCCCCCCAATCCTTTTTGGCCCCAATTATTCACCATTGGCCGCGGAATAATTTGACAAATATTTATACGGCTATTTGTAATGCTTTCAATCTTTATGATTTCCCTGTGATCGTCCAGGCTCTTTGTGCTACATTGGATATTTCCCTTTCCCAACAAAATGCGTTATGTTCGGAAACTGACTTTCAAAAATTTTTATAATTTGATCACAGTTTTGGACCAAAGTGATCATTTATCTACCCTTTCCCCCTCCTTATCGGATCCAGCTATCCAACATTATCCCCCATGTTCTTGTAGCACGTGTCGGCGTGCAAAAGCCATTTTTCATTCAGACCTAGCGGAGGAACGTAGTCATGCTGCAATGGCAATGTTTCCTTCGCAATTAAAAAAGCAAGTCAAGAGAGTAAGAGAGTAAGAGAGTAAGCTGCTTGGAGTTATATATTTGGCACCTTTAAAAGGAAATTTGGAAATAGAATTTACATAAGACGCATCACGTGAAAGTTGGGGTTTGGCTATCGTTTGGGCGTGATAGTCAAAAGGGTGTGAAAAGAGACCACTGGCTCTATTTTAACACTTACTTACTTACTTACTCGCTTACTTACTATTTATTTATTCGCTACATTTCTTCGTGGGATTTAACGTAGTGTCGGCTACAGTGCTCTTCAGACTGTTTATTTCAAATAGCTACTTTCTAGGCAGTTGCTACTAGATTGGAGTGTATTGACCAATTGTTTCCTTCACGAAATGAAAAACTTTACGGGAAAATCAGTGACTAGTCCTTCCTTGATTATCACCGGGATAGAGAGATTAATAACGGGAAATAGACCCCCACGCACACATACAACAAACTCTGTTGATAACTATATATTTAGCCGCCTATAATGCGTTTCACCTATATGATTTTACCCCAGTTGGCACCCGAGAAAACTGCGGTGATATATGTATGGCAATGGACGGAAAATCCTACAGAACACGGGATAAAGCGGTTACCGGACTAAAGAAAGAGTATAACACGGTGTAAAATATCACTTTGGGTATTTAGTATAATTGCTAAGAAAAAACGGGTACTTTATAACTGGTAAGAATAATTAAAACCATATTCATATTCAAAGATAAGCTTAAAAAGGGGCAGTCAATAGACATTCAGGAATGATCGTGACCGGGGCACTTGGCACGAGGTGGGAGATATAACTTGGAAATGGCCTTTGAAGGCTAGGGAGGATTATGTGTGATCCAGGAAACACGGTGACTGAGTTGGGACAGAGCCCGAGACAAAGGGACTTAGAAAAAAAACTATGAAGCAGGAATTGCCTTTCTGCAATGCTATTTATATCAATGGCATTTAAGACCTAGAAAAAAAACGGTAAAAGATGAGCTTAAATGCTTGAAGTTCAAATCTGACAAAATGCTGCATGTAGAACAAAAGGACTAACAGATATTTGACTTTATTCTTGCAAAAGCTGAAAAACTAAAAAAATCAGAAAGAAGAATTATGTGAAACTTATAAAACTACTCACTTGAAAATTGTCTCTGAAGACAACAGACTGAGAGGAATGCTGGGTACAGAAAAGATGAAAAAGGACACGTCAAAAACTGAAAATATTAAGCTAAGACGAAACCATAAGAGTAGATCGAGTTTCAGGGGAAAGTCTGGACATGAGACAGAAGATATTGGCACAACTACCAGAATTGTCTGTTTGGTACAAGTACCAATATTGAAGGACAGCCGATAGGGCTGAATTAGCCACTGGGCCAGAGGGTAACCAAAACCAAAACTAACACGTCAATTCTTGTACACCACTAAATCTTGATCAAATTATAGCAACAGCCTTTCAGGACAGCACGTTCGCTGTTTCCCAAAACTTACGAACTTTGGTGCAGACCGTGTAAACACCACGTGAATACAATACAAACAAAAACAAACCGTGAACTAGTTAATACTCATAAGCAAGTGACATTCCAGAATGACACCAAAAGACAGAGCCAAAAAAGGTACAGATCACCCGCCAGGATACATACGGACGAAGGGACACGCAATGGACAGAGGAGGCCTTCAGAGCAAGAGAAGCGGCTATGCATGACGTGCGGTAAGTGGGTCTTTCATTTACCTAGAAGTTGTCTGTTTGGTACAACTAGCAGTATTGTCTGTTTGATACAACTACCAGTAAAGACTCGTTTGTTTTAATGCTAATTGACAGGTTAACAGCCCTACATTTTACAGCATGATATTGAACTTCTAGCGAAAACTGCTGTACCTGAGGAAATTATGTATAGTATTCCTGCTTTCTAACAATCATCTTCTAACAATAATATTAACTATGACCTTTCTTTTGCAAACCTTTGGAAAATATATGTAAAATGTCCCTTCTTAAAATATGTAATACAGCACACTTATTATGTACTTGTAATAACACCGATGCTCTATTCTATCCCAAGTGAAATCATGACATACACCACGCTAATACACAGTCACAAATCTACTTCATAAAAACATTTTCCAAAAGAACTTAAAAAACAAAATAATAAAAGAACAATTAATATAAAAATTCCGATCCACCTGATTTTGTAAATTCACCTGCAATTCATCTTCATTCAACTTGTTTTCTTTCTTCTTTAGAAATAGCCGAAGCAGAATGTATGCGATCTTCTGGTTTCAATGGTTGGTCAATGTTTCCAGGCATTTGCGAACCATGAGGCAATCATTCCGACCATCTTTGCAGAGTTGTTCTGTTTAAATACTGAAATATAGAAATGAACTTATCAATGGACACATTTTCAAATAAAGTCCATTTGAATGAAAAAAGCAAACCTCATTATTTGCAATGATTATAAATTAGTTAACAAAAGGAGATGCACTTTAAAAATATATCAGTAATACATTGTTTTTATGTATTGCTTTAAAAAACACTATTTATTGACAAGTAAAATTACTTTCAATAGTTGTAATACGGAAGTGTATTATTTTAATGAGATGCATGACGGCAATCAATTATGTACGTTTTATGAATGTCTTATTTTACACATACCTTTACCGGAATGACGTCCTGATGTCTTCAAAAATATTGTCCCTTCAAATTTTTGTTAACCAGGGAGGGTGATGCTATAAATGAAAATTTATTCTATTTATGCCATGTAAAAGTTTTAAAAAATCTTGTTAAATGTTTGCTAATAGATAACTTTGAGAAATGAATAAATTTTATAATAAAACGGGGATCTTTAATGTACATTTCAATAAATATTAAAGTTAGTTATAAGTCTGCTTCATGTTTCTACTTTTATTGAACTTTTTGACTGTAAAGTACTGATTACTTCTTAGATAACAAAATCTTACCTGGACTCGAATTCAAGCCAAAATATTTGTTCATAACTCTTTTCATGTCCATTAAAATCCCAATCTGGTTTATTTTGCCGGCACTTTTTTCTCCTCACAGCACATGGGATTTCTTCAGCAATGTCTCCCTGTAATTTAAACAACGCTATGTTTAGAACAACAAACGCATAAAAAAACATCTGTAATATCAAATTCAACGGCATCAGTCCATAAGCTTCACAAAAAATATGCAGATCTGTTGTAGATTTAATATTTTACTAACAATACCCATGTCTTAATGGACGTTGTTTCTGGCGCACAGAGCTTAAATCAGTCTTCAATCCTTTTGTTAAAAAGTGACTAACTCCACGTCTTGTATAACTCCACTTAGTAACCTTGTTTTTTGGACTATAGNCTATATGTACAGACACATATGTGTCTGTACATAAAAATATATCAGTAATACATTCTTTTTATGTATTGCTTTAAAAACCACTATTTATTGACAAGTAAAATGACTTTAAATAGTTGTAATACGGAAGTGTATTATTTTAATGAGATGTATGACGGCAATCAATTATGTACGTTTTATGAATGTCTTATTTTACACATACCTTTACCGGAATGACGTCCTGATGTCTTCAAAAATGTTGTCCCTTCAAAATTTTGTATACCAGGGAGGGTGATGCTATAAATGAAAATTTATTCTATTTATGCCATGTAAAAGTAAAAAAAAAAATGTTGTTAAATCTTTGCTAATAGATAACTTTGAGAAATGAATACATTTTATAATAAAACGGGGATCTTTAATGTACATTTCAATAAATATTAAAGTTAATTATAAGTCTGCTTCATGTTTCTACTTTTATTGAACTTTTTGACTGTAAAGTACTGATTACTTCTTAGATAACAAAATCTTACCTGGACTCGAATTCAAGCCAAATTATTTGTTCATGACTCTTTTCATGTCCATTAAAATCCCAATCTGGTTTAATTTGCCGACACTTTTTTCTCCTCACTCCACATGGGATTTCTTCAGCAATGTCTCCCTGTAATTTAAACAACACTATGTTCAGAACAACAAACGCATAAACAAACATCTGTAATATCAAATTCAACGGCATCAGTCCATAAGCTTCACAAAAAATATACAGATCTGTGGTTGATTTAATATTTTACTAACAATACCCATTTCTTAATGGACGTTATTTCTGGCGCACAGAGCTTAAATCAGTCTTCAATCCTTTTGTTAAAAAGTGACTAACTCCACGTCTTGTATAACTCCACTTAGTAACCTCGTTTTTTGGACTATGGCCCATCCAAAAATGTTGAGAAAAACCCATGAGCCTATTTCGAGTTTCACCACCAAGAGTGAAATTCATCTGTATCTATCTCTATTAACAGACTCAAACATCAGAAAGTTACATCTGAAAATCAGGTTAAGGGGCCTAAAGTTGATTCGTGAACAGTTTTAAAAACGGTTTACATTTAAGGAGAATCTGCTAAAATTTCTAGAAAAAATTGCGATGTTAAAGACTTATTTTTACCAAACTTTACGTAGACATAGTGCTTACCCAGTCAGCAGGTTAAGATTTCACTGTATAAGACACGTCACAAGGAATTTTATGGTGGGAGAAAATAGGTCTTCTTCGTAACCCCGCCCTGGGGGCAGAGACGGCCGCAGAGAGACATGGTTAGTCTACCTAAAAGAGATTAAGTTTTCACTTACTGGTCATGAACAGTTTTAAAAGGTATAAATCAATTGGTTTAGAAAAAAGAAGTGAACGGAATAAACGAAATTTGGAAACTACTAATAATATTAACTTAATTACTACTGGTAACATTCAAAATAGTAAACCTGCACCATATTGCGTAAAAACATGATGTACGTGTACAAAGATGGCGTTTTAGCCTTAAAACCATATGGTTATCTGAAGGTACCCTCTGATATCAGGGACTTCTTAAATACTATACAAAATTACAGCGCAAACACCTTCGTTACAGACTTCTAGCGCACTATGTGGCCAGAGAGTGATCTGCAGGCATGCTGTGGGGTTACCCTCTAACAGGGCCACAGATTGATTTTTCACTGCAGTAGATATTCACAGATAATGTCTCTGGGTAGATATAGTCGACCTCCTAACTGGAAATGTGGAAAATGTGCCGATAATATCTGCCACCCTGGTAGAGGGTGCTACGCGGCTATTTCTGTTGAAAGAGTAGCCCGGCCTGCAGAGAAAATATTTCACAGCTGTGACGTGTCCTCACACCTGTCCAGGTTATGCTGTTATGCACCGAATACATCCCATATACTCTCTTTAAGCACCTGTTTTTGTTTCTCTGTTATATGACTTTTATCTCCTAATACCTCCTCAAGCCAATTAATTTTACTACCGCTGAACAATTTCGAAAGAGATCGTCTCTACCTCTAACTGCAAGCCACTGTTGTGGTGCGCAGAGATTATATGTTTTCCATGAATCCTTGGTGGCCCAGGCCCAGTTAATACAGAGACTGGTTTTTTCCCGTGACTGAACAGGCCTTTAGGGGGGGGAGGTTAGAAAGAACCCCCCTTTTTGCCTGGAAAGGGTCCTTTCTGAGTAAAGATTTATTTAGGAACGCAAAATTAAATTTAATGGTAAAAGGTTCACTTTTCAGAAAAAGAACCCCCTTTTGAAATTGCTGGCTACTGTGCGGGCCTGCTGAATGGTAGCATAAACGACACATAATCGATTGAAATGTCTTATAAATGATGGATCAGCAGTGGTCTAACAGTACTTACTCATGTCAGAATCCAGGTGCTCGTCAATATAGCGTTTATTACACGGGGGGGGGGGGGGGGGGGAGAGAGAGAAATGGCAATTGTTTTACAGCAATACTTGCTTTAACTGAGACCTCTTTAACTATTTCGTTATCTATGACCAATATATTTGGGGCGTCCAGTTAAATACAACATTCGGTCTGTTTTTTTTTTAAACTTTTTCGAAGCAGCGTCAGATATACTCAGTTCTTTGGTGAAGCACGTTAATTTAGACGGCCCACATGTGATTGGTGGACACGTTTCATTGCAAACGTTCATTACCTGACGGAGACGGTAATCACTGAAAAGGATACATTTAATATTCTACCTAAATCTTACCTGAAGTTTTTCTGGCCTCATTTTTCCTTCTCCCATCTTCCAGCACCAGAGTTAATCATCCATCTTTAGAATGACTGGAATGCAACGAAAATTATAATGCAGAGTAGCAGCATTCTATCAGTAACAGAGCTTTACATTTACTTCACATTGGAGCTGTAAGAATCTGACCAAAAATGACAACTGACAAAAAAGGTTAGCTTACTGTTACGACTGCAACTATGCGGCGACACCCAGCCTGTGTAGACGGGCGATCTGCAGCGAATGCACCCCTACATCACTCCTGCCTGACGCCCCATCTCAGAATGTCTCTCTCTTTCTATCTATTCACTGACTATTAATGAATGCATCACGTGATTCTTATCAACAGACCAATCGAAACTGCGTCCAACTTCAAAGGGTTGAAAAGCAGCCTCTACCTGCTTGAACGGAATAAGATGATAATGGAATTCAAGATCAAGAGCCTGTAGCCGGTCCAAACTGCTAATAGGTCCCATTCGCGACAATAACAATAAGATGTTGTCGCTGTCACGGTCGGCTGACAGTCTACTCTTTTCCAGAGCGGCAATATTAATTATGCTCACCCTTCTCCAGCGCAAAGAGATTTATGCTATGAATAATTAGCCAGAGCCATATCTGTGAATATCTTGTGAATTGATAAAATTGTCGTTATGAATTTCCATGAGAAATTCAGAGAAGAGCAGCATACGGTGCTAAACCGAAATCTCTGATACCGACTTACCAGCTATAATCATGTATCATACTATGTCAGCTGCTATGCCTTATTTTCCTGATGTAATTTCAATTAATAGAAGTAGTTAGAAATAGTAGCAGTCAACATTGTATCATTATCTAATTTATTCTGTCGGTGAATAGTTACTTAGCTAATGTTTGTACTTTCATTCTTTCCGACATGAAATAAACTTTATTGTATTGTATTGTATTGTATTGTATTGACTGATGTTCGCTGCTTTTAATATTGAGTGGTGGGTATGGACTTTATAAGCCTACATGATTCACTCCGATATATTTCCTTTTATAAGTCACCTTCGGGAAGCTTACACTAATATTCACTAATAGACTCACCTTTTATGGAAACTTATAACTTAGGCTGGTATCCTCAAGCTACATGTACATGTACATCATAGTTTGATGCTTGATATTGCACTGGAGCAAGTTCTGTAGGGAAGGCCCAGGTATTATTCAATTTCTTATGTAACGTTCATGATTGGGATGTTTGGGATGGTAAGACTTAATTATGTTTAGTTTTCCAGGTGCCCATGCTAGCTCTAGACCATAACATTAAAGGTAGAAATACAGAACATAGAAAGGAAATTGGCATAAATGAAATTATTATGACATAAAGCTCAATGACTTCAATTGACATATTGATGTAACCAAATTGTTATTTCCTTGACACTAAACTGGTTGGGCTGCTATGCAGTCAACTGAGAATTTATATTTACTATCATAGGTAAAGGTAATAATGGAGATCTAAGATCTGTCGGGGACGTTTTTGTCAAACATTCAACACAAGAACGCAACAATACACGCAAACTGACTTTTCCAGAATACAAAAATGTTTTTTAACATCTCCGTGGAAAACGATTCTTTCTTGACGATTATTTATTTATTCATTTATTTACTTGCTTGATTGTTCTGTTGCCATCCTTTCATTTTCAGATAGTGTGCGCTCGCCTATGGGTTTTTATCTGGTGATAGATCCGTCCGTTTTTGACATCTTTTTATCACGTGAAATCTATGTTTTTCATCCTCCCCCTTATCTGTGACAGTGCTATTGACTTTTATACTAATTAAAACGCGAGGTAAAACCATCAAAAGCTTTTACTTCTTGCATTCTCTTTATACGTTGATTTTTTCCCTTTGCGTCCTCACCCCCATCTCTCTCTCTCTCTCTCTCTCTCTCTTTAACGGTAAACGTGTTAATAAAACGTGGGGCTATTTTTGTATTACCCATTGCGGAAACACGCCAATCAATTTTACAAAACACTCCCATCTCTTCACACACTTCGTACAATTTATACGCTAAATAATAATTATTTATTGGACACTAAAATGTGTACAGGTTACATTTTACACACTCTCTACTCTGCTATTAGTTTCATAACATAAATGTAAATACAAAATATTCTCGCGCCGGGGAGAAGTGTACATAAATAATCTGGGGCCCTTGTAGGGTGTACATTTCATTAACCAAAATTTAACATTGACAAACATATATGAATTACAACAGGAATGATATGATTATACTAATAAGCGACAGAAAGTTTAGTACCGATTTGCTAACATCAGAGCTATCTCTGCTGATCAGTTATAAATTGGCGTCGCTGTACTTTATATATTGAACTCACACATTAAAAACGCACGGTGGGTTCCGGCCTCACGTTATCTCTAAGGCCTTCGATTCTTTGTCCTTGCTATAACTTAGTATGCAAAACAAGACGATTACTTATCAGCTCTCTTTCCGGTCCTAAATCCTGAAATCTTAGCTAATATCTGCATTTTCCGATGAGAAAAGATACAAAAATAATGAATAAGAGGAGTCCTTGAATAGACCTGATAGCACTGAGCCGTAACACATATGTAAGCAATATTAGACAGATGGAACTCGTCTTCTTTTACAATGCCCAATATGTTTACTCAGCTACGAAAGAATTATTTCTTAACAAACCGTCCTTTACGAAAACCAGTTGCTTCGATACCATGTTTCTGCCTAACAAAAATTTATAAATATTTATGAACTCATGGCTAAATTAGCTGCATATACCGGTTAGATGCTTGCCATAGCTGACATTTAATAACTACTGCACAAACAAAACAACATCTAATACTTATTTTCATTATTATTACAAATATGTTTACAAGTATGTATTATTGCTTTTTGTTTTTTATTCTATGTTATCGTATTTCATCTTTTTTCACTTTATTAATTTTTCTTTCTTTCCTTCCTCTTTGTTTTGTCTTCTTTAATCTTATTTAATTTGGCTTTATTCAATTCTGTTTTATCAACCATGTCATAAGAAAAAAAAATCGACCTGCACCATACATTGCGACCTCTGACCAAAGACTTGCTATTCGCTATTTCTCTCCAACAAAATTATTGAATCAACGTCCTGAACGATGTGAAAATACAGACTAGACATTTAATATGGAATATTTCAGTTTCGAAGGTATGCCTAGGTGAAAATGCATTCTTTTTTTCACAAACTCCGATCTCATATAAGATATGTGAATGGAGAAGTGTGTAGCCAGGTGTGTCGCTACCAATTAACTGAATATCAGGTTTGTTGCGCTGCTGCATTATGTAATATGCATTGATTTAATTGGGGAGTGCTCCTTTGGGCTGGTCAAAGCTTGGGTTTGGCAAAGCATGGTTCTTTCAAAAAAGTATCCATATGTCGGCAACTACTGCATAGAATTATTTAAAATTTTGCATGCAAGTGGTCGGGTTTGCTGTGTGTAAAATGAGCTATGCAGTGCTTTATAAATTTGTAAATCTGTGGCAGAATGGCGCGAAAAAGACAGGCATTGCCAGACAGATAATTGTGCCAAACGAAACGGTCCGCACAGTTTTATAGAGTAATGCCCAGACTGATGTACCTACACAGAGGCCACACCCAATGTATTGAAATCTTACCACCAGGGCACAGGACCCACTGTCTTTCAGGATATGCTGTTGCAACTAAACAAAAGCCACCCAGTCCGTTCAGAATGAGGGGTAAATTGCCACCAAAATGCACTTTTCAAGGCCCTTAGCGAATACCAAACTGGTTTTAGCAGGTTAGAATACCAGACGACCTCCAAGGAACCCACTGTAAACAGCAAAACATCGTTGTATGTTTCTCTAATGAATTGGGGACCTTGTCTGTTTCTGGGTTGAACACTGAAATCTCGTGGTTTTTTGTATTGAGGTCAGATTTCACCTGTACCGCTCAACAGTCAAAACAGAGTTTACAGACATCCAGAAGAGGCCAACGACGAAGCGTGTGCCGCATCTAAAGTGACTTAGGTCATTAACAGCGTCAGTATTTGGAGTGGAAATCACATTGGTGCCAAAACACCAATGGTAGTCATCGACGAAAACCTGAACTAGATCAAATAAAGAAATAATCTGTGAACCATTTGGCTATCATTTGATAGGGGGCAACTTAGGAACAATTTTAGGTTGCACGGTGAGATTGCCGGTTCTTACAGAGCACTTTTAATAGCAGATTACTTACAGAACCAAGGGAATGAGCAGCTACCTTGGTCATCAAAACCGCCATATTTAAACCACATAGACAATATGTGGGTAGGCCATTACTCGCCGAATCAATGTCCTACATGAGCTTCAACAAAACTGGACCAAATTGGACAGATTTTGACCGATGCCGGGAATGTTATTCCAGATTGAACTTAAAAAACCTATCCCAAGGAATCCGTTGCCACTTGAGAGCGCTGGTAGCAGCCAGAAGAGGTCATGCGTAACAGCGGCCGTTACTGTGACTAGACACTGACATGAGGGTCCTTTGTGGAGCGTGTAACTCCTTTACAGACAATAATTTGGAAAATATGGAGGTCCAAAATATCTATTTTAATGGTTGTCGTATGACATAGAATAGGCAATGTGTTTTTTTTTTTGCTTCTCTGTCGAATTCCATTAATGAACTGATGTCACAATGACACCAAAGAGGTAATTTAAAGTTGTTAAAACACGATTTTAATCCTTATTTTAATTTATCAGTCAGCTAAATAGGAAAAAACTGATGAAAAAATTATTTGGAAAAAAATATTCCATATTAAATGTCAAGTCTGTAGTTTCATCGGATCTCAGTTGTGATAGTCACCTGAACAGGTAATTCAGTTGTGACTAAGTCTGTCAGAGTGAACAGACAAAACAGTCAACAAGTAAATGAAATATCTGGATCTATCAAAAATGAAAATTTTTGGAGGCTGTCAAACAGACGTCGCCTTGTTATGCACTTAAAGCACTTACATGTACAAGGGCATAGCCTGATACTGGTATATTAAAGCATACGGCTGCTCTGCTCATCTCGGCATATTTCTAGAACCTCGGTTTATCACGCAACCAAGGCTAATTTACTTCACTTATTTTCCTTTCCTTCCATATAGCAACTATAAATAGCTACGTGACACATACTGTATCACTTTCAAGACGGATATAAAATGCCAATTATTATGTAATAAATATTTCAAGATATCTCAGATGTAGGTCTGTTTATGCATTTCACCTAGAATTTCTTGATTTCCTCAACACATTCATGATGAAATATGCTTGGTATTACATTCTAGATACCATTCATCGAA